CACTTCATGAAAACTTGCCCTATATCCCCTGCTGGTCTCTGAGCACCTTACATTTCTCTTAGTGAATAGCATGATGTGCTAAATACACTATACCACTACTACTTATTTGATTGCTTTGTATGTTAGCTTTAAATACCCTTTGTGCTACCTTCCCCATAAATTGTCAGCTGCTCATTATCTGTTGCCTTAAAGGCATAAATCTCAAAAAAAAATAATTAATAGATTATATTGATTAGATATTCATTACAGTTTCGTTTTTGGATTTGGAACACATAAACCTAATAATCTGTAATGTAAAGGTTCTGACAGAATTGGCACTGAAGAGAAAGAGCTAATTTGTGTACCAGCTGACTGATGTGAGAAGAGAGGGGTTACTTAGTTACAAAAAAAAAAAAATTCCTTAAGGTAACCTGTCCATGACTTTGTTTTCCATGTTATGCAATAGTTTTGTATAGAGATGAATGGGTTTAACTGTGACAAATGACTAATGAGAGAAAATGGTTTAAATTATTATTGAAATCACTCTGTCAGGCATGGACAACCAAGACTTCATGTGAAGAGTCCAATTAGCTTATTTATCGCTTAAGCCTATACACAGGAATGTTCTCAGACTGACAGTTTGCACCCAGGTAAGGCTAGTTAAGGTTCAACAGCACGAAAGGGGGAATTGCAATTTGCTCTCTCATGCTTGTGTAGGGATTCCATGCTAATTCCTTGCTTGACTTCACCCCCTGGCTTTGCCAGTCTCTCTCCAACATATCTCAGCTTCAAAAAATAAAATAAAAATTAAACTAGGTTTGTCTGCAGGATTACAATCAGCAGTGGAAGACACATTGTGGAAGAGATGGGGGGGGGAAGGAAAGTACAAAAGAAAGCCAATCGAGAGAGAGAGAGAGAGAGAGAGAGAGAGAGAGAGAGAGAGAGAGAGAGAGCGCTAAAGTGAATAGATGTGAAGTAAGGTGCTCAAATATAATAAAAGAGAAAGGATTTCAGAAGGAAGGGCATTCATCAGAAACAAGCTGTAAGAGAAAGGGTCAGAAAACTTAACATAAGGTCAGAAAAATGGAGAAGGAAGAAAATTGAACTTGACAGATCTGCACAGATTTTGTACCATCACCTTTATTTTTATTTTTTTTCCTCCTTCCACTTCACTTCAGGTTTCTTATACTTTTCCTTAAAAGTATCTGTGGTTTTAGTAGACGGGCTGTATTTTTTCTTTTTTGTCTTTGTTGCTCTCCTTTGGTTTCTGTAGAGGAAAATTTCTAGTCTTCATAATAAAAACTTTCTCCATAATCTCCATAATCAGGAAGGCAATATATAGTAAAAAATTATTCTGATCTTGTAGAGAAAAAAAAAACTATTCCGAAGGATAAAATTATATCTAATAGATATAATGTCTTTGAAGTCTTCCATGACAGAACAGTTGTGCCATAGCAAAGAAGTTCCTTGTGATCAGCTACATCTTGACTTATGACCACAGTAAAGACTAGAATTTTCTAAGCAAGATGGTTGTTAAGTGAGCCACACCTTTTTGCCATAGTTCTTAAGCTTAAGCTAATCACTGTGATTGTTAAGTGAATCGTGTGGCCATTAACCAAATCCAAGTTCCCTTTTAAATTTACCTATCAGAAGCTGATTAGGAAGGTTGCAGAGAGTGATTCATACATGACCCCGGATGCTGTAACTATCCTAAATGAGATCCAATTGCCAAGTGTCCAAATTTTGATCAGGTGACTCTGGAAATGCTGTGATGTTGTAAGCATGAGAACCAAATCCACAAGTCACTTTTTTCAGTGCCACTATGACTTTGAATGATCGCTAAATAAATAGTTGTAAGTCAAGGACTACTGGTAATGTTTGAATTAACATCTTTAGTAGAGCTATCAGCTGCTGAAATACGAATTACAGTAGTATCTGTTGTCGAACTCTTGGATTGTTTGAAAAAAAAAATGCATATTTTACTTAGCATTTCTATTGAGCTACTAAAATATAAGCTTTCTTAGACAGAGGCTGATAATCATTGGACCCCATTCAGTTGCACTTTGCACCATATATTCTTCGAAAGTCAATTCCCCCTAGAATGAGGAAAGTTAATCTATAATATTGTACATATGGGTAGGTCCTCGAGTTACGAATGTAATGGAGCCTGCCCATTCCATTCGTAACTCTACAATTCATAGAAGTGATTCACATACCTTGATCGTGATCACTCTCTGCTTTCGTCCATGCATTCGCTAATCGGATGCACGGTTCATTAAGTGCACATGAGGTAGGGTGAAGAAGGCCTTGGGGCTTAGTGATGGAACAGGCCCCCAAGGCCTCCACGGCCCACTAAAATACCTCATGTTTCCTCCTCCCTTACGGCCATGCCAGACTCACTTACCTTGCAAAGATCTGTCTCCTCTGTACTGCTATGCCTTTGAGGGAGAGTCGGCTTGGAAATGCTTTAGCAGAGAACAGGTGCCTGAACTCGCGCAAGATCACGGACCCCAGAAACTTCCATTCTCGGTGCGAAAAGTAAACACAGCCTGTCTCCTGCTCCCCCCCCCAAACTCCTTTCCGCCACCTCTGTGGTAGGGATGCTCCTGCCCTGCCCACTAAAATCTGCTGCGGATAGAGCTCCTTCATCAACCCACCCTGTGCTAGAGCTGGGAGGGTCGCCATGGAATCAGAGTCAGCCAAGCGCAGGAACCAATGCCGTCCATGGCCCGGGTGCGGTGCTTGCTCACGTGTGCTGGCTTTGCTGGGCAGTAAGGAAGCCTTCAGATGAGCGAGAAGGCACCACGGGGCCAGGCCCCTCACACCTGCATCCAGCCTGCTGGAGCTTGCCACACCAGGGGAGGAATGAGACCTCGTCCCACGGAGCCCTCTGCTGCTTAAGCAGGGAGGAGGAGAAGAGCGGTGAGGTTTTGTGCTGATCAGCTGGCCAGGCAGGGGTACTTTGGAAGGGCGGCTGGCTGGCTGGGGAGAGATCATGGCCACTCAGGTGGCCCCCGCTGCTGCCAGCAGCTTGGGTTCCCTGGCTCCATCCAAGCTGAAGAAAGCAGAGGCACAGCAGCAGGACTGACCTCAAACAAAAAGGCTGGCACGCACAGCATACCTGGGTTCCCCCCTCCTCAGCTAGCCAGCCAGCCCCCTCACCTGACCTAGCGGTGAGAATGGGTGCCTGAACTCGCATGAGATCACGTACCCCAGAAACTTCCATTCTTGGGGCAAAAAGCATTTCCAAGCCAACTCTCAGTGGCAAAGAAACAGCTGCAGAGAGGAGACAGATCTTTGCAAGGTAAGTGAGTCTGGCACGGCAAGAAGAGAAGGGGAAGCAGTTTGGGGAGTGAGGGGGAATAGAATGAATGTTGCAGAGCCTCTGCAGTCATTTGTAAGGGCGAACAACTGCCGCGGTGCTGCAACATTCATAATTTCGGGACTTGTTTGTAAACACTTGGCACTTATTATGTAACTTCGAACGAGTGCTATGTGATCGTTCTTAACTCTGGGATTATCTGTATTTTAGAACAGGATATTGAGGTAGAACAAGCAGCATTTTGATGAGAAAATGGCGCAAAAGGAATGAGCTAATGCATCACAGTTCAAGATCAAAAAATTGGGCATGATAATTCCAAGTACTTCTTTAAATATCACATGATTAAAATCGCCTCTGGGTTAAGCCTTATTAATATTATAGTGTGTAGGGCTCATGAAAAATAGCAACCTGGCTAAGATTAGTTAAATCGGTTAATCTAGGTAATTCATAATAAAACTTGAGAAAACATTCATACTGTTTATTTGTTCTTGGAGGTGTGGTTTAAGGTGCTGATCTAGGAACCAAGAGACTATGAATTCTGCCATAGGCATGAAATATTGACTGAGTCACTTGGGGCCAGTCACTCTTTCTCAGCCCAACACTCACAGGGTTGTTGTTCTGGAGAAAACAGGAAGAAGAAAGAGTATTAGTTATGTTTGCTGCCTTAAATTATTGATAGACAATAATAAAGGCAGAATGAAAATCAAATAAATAAATGAGTCTTGATAGCACCAAATTGGAGACAGCGTACATGTGTTACACTTCTGTTCTACAAAACTGAGTGCAGATGAGGGCTTCTGTAGCAATTCAGTGATTTCAAGAAGCACCATTATTGGTTTTTGTTTTTTTTTTTTTTTTTTTTTTTTGAGTTACTGAACAATTTGTATCATAACCTCCAAGGAAAAGATACATACAACATTAGCATTGTATGATACAGTTAGCATTGTGTAATAAAAATGTGATCTGCAGTACTAAATTCAGTGCCATGCTATAAGGGGACTCTGTTGCTGGAAAGAAGAAGGAAAAATGGATGAACTTTGGAGGTCAGGGAAAGTTTTCGATCCCAAGACAAGAAAAGCTGCTGTAGCTCATTGATTGATTGATATGTCTTCCCACCTCTCTTTGGCTGATTTCTTGAGAAGCGAGCAGCCTGTTTTCCAGGCCAGAAAAGAAAAGAACAGCTGGGTGAGATCTGTTTGCCAATGAAGTGAAATGCTAGGGAACTGTCTTTAAAAACTCTGAAAGAATGGTTACATAGAGAAGGGGGAAAAAAATGCTAGTCAATTCTGGAGCAGTAATGCTTTATATAATTACTTCTTTAAGAGAAATAATTGTAAGTATGTACACATTGTACTATTGATACTGTTCTTTCTCACCAAATAAGGAGCTATATAATGCAAATCTATTATTTAAGCTGAAATTCCAGAACTGACTCAGTATATATTATTTTTCCATCAACTCCCCGAAAAGCAGAATGACATTCATTAATGGTAACTAGTCTTCTGTGACTCATTTTCCAAAAAAAAAAAAAAAAAAAAAAAAAACCCAAACTGAGCATGAAATACAAGTCTTGTGTATTTTGCCTTACAAACTGTGATTCATTAGTTGTATGTTATAGCAGTCCCATGTAGCTTTTATGGTGTTATCTTTTGGTAACCCTGATGACTTTTCTCCCCAATTGCCTTGTTTATTTCCACAGGATGCATCACTTCTGGAGGTGAATTCATTCAGTCCTTTGATGCCCACATCTCCATCTTCAATGATAAATCAGTACAAATTTGAGGATGAACCAGAAGGAAAGGATCTTTTCATAACGGTTGATGATCCAGAAAGCTATATTACTGCCATCGAGACATTCATCACTTATAGAATTGTCACCAAGGTTTGTTTCCTCTTATAGCAAAGTACCACTTTTTAAAATTGTCAGGCCTTACAGATCTTGTTACAAGCAAACCAGGATTTAATTATTAATTGGCCAAACCAATCAATGCATAAACTGCCCCAATTGCCATGACAACAACACTAGGCAGCATACAATCCTATACTTAACGCATTTTAGACCAAAAAAAAATCAGCCATAGCAATGCCAACTTTAACTGCTCACTTTGGGGAACCCTCAAATATAAAATCCTAATGAACTAAGCCCTGGGTGTCCCATGGCCTGCTGAAAGAGCTTGGATTTCATTTACATAGATGGACATAGCAAATCGTCAGAATAAAGTGTTCAGAAGACAGTTTTAAAAAGTAAATAAGAACAGTTTTGGCAATTGCATTCGTTCCAGAAAGTGATATAGCGCAGGTTTTTCAAACCAGGTGTCTTCAGGTTTGCAGCTGTCCAAATTATAATTGCAACAGATTTCTAGAGAGATTCTGTTTTGGACTTCCCTGACAGTAGTAGCAAACTGTTTTTGAAACCATATGAAATTTCAAATGGGGCTATTTACTTATTTATTTAATGTGTCTAAACTGCTTGTCATTAAATTTACTCTTGATTGCAAGTGGAACAGCAAATGTAATGCTTTTCAAGGGAAAAAAAAACATGCAGCCAGCAGATGCTGTTATTAGGTCTCAAGAAAGTGTAATGACTCTGTTTATAATAATACTGAGGAAGTTCCTATATTTATTTTTCAAATTTCCAAGTCAGTCAGTTAACAGCCAATTCTGCCTTCTCCCCATGTCAATAAAAACAAATGATTGACTTCCCCAAACACCTTACACAAAGGTTGCATAAGAGCCACATTTTAATGCTATTCTAAAGGCCAGTAATGTGTGTGGGGGGCTGCAAATGCCTAGAATGCATTGGCTGAGGAATTCTGGGAGTTGAAGTCCACAAGTCATAAAAGGGCCCAGTTTGAAGACCCTTGCCTAGAAGGATGCTGTTTTAGAGAGTAGGTGCTATGGCAGAAAAGGCCCATTTCCTGGGACTTGCTAGACGATATGACCAAGGGAGGATTGTATATGTACACTCAAACTCTTTTTTGGGTACAGTTGGATCTTCAAAGGTGTATGATGACAGTATTCAGAGGTGAAACTCTGTACTTCTCATGGATTTTTTTTTTTAGTACAAATGTAAGAAAGCATGCTTTGGCAGGAAATTAATTAGCTTTTCAGAAGCTCTGATGTGGCTACCTAAGCCATTTCCTTGAGCAATGCTAAGCTTAAATGTCCATCTTTTTAGCTATGGCTGCTGTGCAAGATGTCAGACATGACCAGTGACATCATTGTTCAAGACAATTGATGAGACCCTTGGGGATAAACCATGTATTACAAGGGAATGGGGTACCCTGGCACAGGTGAGCAGGCAAGGAAAATGTGATAAGCACAAGCAGTCCAAAGAAAACATCCCAGACATTTATAATCACAATTTGTGAACAAGTACTGTATAGAAGTGGAATGGAAAGAGATGCACATGTATTAAGAATTTCTAAAACCTAGCACTGAAGAAAAGCTGAATTATTTGGTAAAAAAATAACCCTGGTTTGTATTGGTGATAAAAGTAATTTGATGAGTCTTGGCTTTGAAGCAGTTGTAAAAAGATCAGAGGAAAGCAAGCAGCTGAGCAGCAAGTGCCACTCATTTGCTTTGCATTGAATGTATTTATCATTTTCTCCAACTGTGTTTGTTTATCAGTAGCCTTTATGAATTACTTACGTTACTTACAGGATTTGTAAGATCTGTCAGGTAATACAAGCCCAGAGCAGAATCTCTTGGAATTACAATTCTAAGATCCTCTCTGATGAAGATTTGAAACCTTGCTTGAAGACAAGGATCTCACTGAGGAGAATTCTACATATTCAGTTACCAACATCAGCCAACGCTTCTTATTGATGACTATCATGTTCATTAAATTATTTGGATTCCTCTGTGCATATTTGGCACAAAATGAAATGTGTTCACTGAGAAGAATCCTGTGCATTATCAACATGACGCAAAACTATTTTTTAATTGAAAAAAGAGTTTCCTCATGTGTAAACTTTTCTATCAAAATTCACCTGAGCCAGATTTTCATCTAAAAGGATTATCTTAGCTAGGATTTTAGGTCGAGGTTTCTCATTCAGGCTGCTATAGAGGGACTTCCTAATTCTATCCAAAGGAGAGCATTTGGAATAGAGAGAGGGATTCACAATATCATTCTAATAAATGTTGGCTGAATAGGTTAAAAGTGCTATAGATCAGAGAACAAAACCACAAAAAACTCAATATTTTTGCACTGTATACATTGATTGCAACAAGAATCTAAATATTTGCATTGCAGCTAGGAAATCTAATAATTGCATGTACTGTGGCCTCACACATTTACTGCTTTCAGGAAATAAAGAACTCGAAGAGCGTATATAAATGTGAAAGTATTTATGAAAAAATAAATAAAAGAATATCTAAATTTGAAGGTAATTTATGGACATATTTGAACATCTTTATCTGCCCAATTTGGAAACCATTCATTTCCTATTTATACTCTCCAAGAATTCATTTTGAAGCAATTAAGTCCCAACTCTTTGGTCTTGGGTTAAGATCAGGTCTGTGTGGCATAATGGCAAAAATGTGCCCAAACTAATTAATAATTAACAAAATGTGCTAAATATGTGATAAGCATGATTATATGGCTGGTAGTGTAGTATACACTTTATCTTATTAAACATTTTAATTACATAAAAATGTAGTGATTCTAACTGCAACTATAACATCCTCATGGAAGACAGTGACTTGGAATGCAAAAAAGAGTTAATGATAAACAGTATGAATTAATAAGTGAAAGTAAAGAAAGAAAAGGTGTGTCTGTGAATTTCAGGGAAAGGAAAAGGAATTAATACATCTGAATGAAGTTGATTGAATCTTGTAGAATGGAATTGATGAGTATTTGCAAAGTATCTTTGGAATCCAAAGGTATAGGTTTAATTTAATAGGTTTAATTAAGTGAACAGTTAATTGAATGAATGGGCTAAATTGTCTGCCCAAAAGTAGGAAGTTGTGCCATTTAGGTTATTATGAGTATGAATGAAAATAAGAATCCATAGATTGGCAATGTTGCACATTGTGCCGCAATGAATGCTGATAATTGAAGAATTAAAAATATCATTTGGGAAAGGTTATGCAACATTCAGAATTAATGGCAGTCTAATATTCTGTTAGGTGATGTGAATGGATGAGTAGGAACATGCTGAGAGAATGCAGAAAAAAATGATTAGGCCATTGAGAGATGTTGCTTAGAAAAAGATCTGTTAATTTCAGATACATATTTTAATCATAAGCACATCCATTTATACACCTGAAAAGGCATGAAAGAAAAAAAAAAGCGATCTTACTGTTTAAATGAGAGATTTTAAATACGGGGTAAATCATTACTTGTACTACCAAGAGATAATCTTGGGAAGTAGTGGAAAAAAAGAAAGAGATTTGAGATACTAGAATGAAAACAGAATGACTGCAGGGAGTGCTATATGAAAAAACATTAAGAAATAGGTTAATTTTCCTACACAAAGAATAAACATAAAGAGAATGTGGAAGGTGTTTGGGACTAATTGAAAAGAGTTCTATTGGAAAGTTCCATAGAAGTATGTGAAGTTACATGAATAGGAAGTGCATTAGCGGATGATGGGTGGAATGATAGTGAAATAAGTGGAGAGAAAAATAATACATATAAGAGAATAAATACTATAAAAAAACTGAGAATGAGATAAATATATTGTGTAATGTGTATAGAAAAAAAATGATGTGAAGAATATAATCAAAGAGTGCAAAGAGCTCTTAGAATTGAAAGAAGTGGGGAAAAATGCAAAACATTTATGATGGAAACAAAACTGGCTTTGGACATGGGTAAAAAAAGCTAAACCAGGAATTGTGTCTGTTTGGAATAAACCTGAACTGAAGAAATCTTGGAAGGGGTTCTTTAGATATATATACATATATATATATAGATAGATAGATAGATAGATAGATAGATAGATAGATAGATAGATAGATAGATAGATAGATAGATAGATAGATAGATAGATAGATAGATAGATAGATATAGATAGATAGATAGATATATAGATATATATATATAGATATATATATATATATGAGAATATTAGTCTAAAAAATTGAAATTGAAATAAATGTGATAAAGATTACAGCATAAGAAAAAATGATGAAAAGGAAGTCATAAGTGCTGTGAGAATGTTGAAAAATGATTAGGCTGAATGATGTAATTGGAGAAATATTAAAATATGGATATGGTTTGATTATGGAGTGTCTATATGACTTGGTTAAAATGTGTTTGAAGACTGTATTCATGCCTGACATTTGGAATATATTCCTCTTATATAAAAGGAAAGGTAGTGAGAAAAATCACAGCAAAGTTGATGCGTTAAGTGTGCTTTGTTTGTCATGTTTGATTAAAAGGAAAGGTGACAATGAGCAAAAGAGAAGGGCAATGTGGCCTTATGCCAGGTAAGGAACTTAAAGGAAATAGTTTTGTTATTCAGCAGATCACTGAGAAATATTTGAATGTGAGAAAGCAGGTTTATTGCACATTTGTTGATTTACAGACTTAAATTACAGAATGTTTTGTGTCATCTGGAGTTGATGGTTGGTTCAGATTACAAGAGTAGTATATATCAGTGTCATCTTATAGAACTCAGTAGATATCTGATGGGACTGTTTCTGTACCTGCCCTCTGGAACAGCATCCTTTCGGAAACTCAGCCCCCACAAGTATTTTGTTTCATGCAGGCTTTAAAAACATGACTCTTTTCTCAGGCATTGGGCCCACGATACTGTGTTTCCCTGAAAATAAGACTGGGTCTTATATTAATTTTTGCTCCGAAAGACGCATTAGGTCTTATTTTCTGGTTAGGTCTTATTTTCAGGAAAACATGTACTAAATATGTCCATCTGGCTGATGATCTTAACTGGGGCTTATTTTTGGGGTGGAACTTATGAACATCCTGAAAAATCATGCTAGGTCTTATTTTCTGGTTGGGTCTTATTTTGGGGGAAACATAGTAGAGTGGTTTTGCTGTTATCTGTCTGTTGTTTTCCCTCTTTGACCATCTTTTCCTTTTTATGGTTTTGATTAACATACTGTCCTGTTTTAAGTTTGTATACTACCCTGAGATGTGGTGAATGAGTGATCTCCAAATGTGATAGATACATGATAGATAGATAGATAGATAGATAGATAGATAGATAGATAGATAGATAGAGTAAAACATAAATAGAATCTTATGAAATGACTGAACTTTGAGCAGGAAGAAAGGTAATGTTGTGGGAAGTCTTCTTGATTGTTTAATGTATTTATGGTTAAATGCATATGGAATTGTAGAAGTTTGATCTTAAATATATATTAGTTGGGGATGTCCTTTTGTATACAGCAGATGTCATGTTGATTGAGATAAATTATACGATGCCCTGCAAAGTATGGTTCTGAAAATTAATACATCAAAGTCCAACGTAGTTATGTTTGATGGGGAACATTGAGAGAATGATGGGAAGTTATGCATATTTTTTAAAAAAAATTACTAGAGCAACTAGATGAACTCGTGTATTTTGGTCAAGTATTTACAAAAATGGGGAAATGGGCAAAGAAATTTTGAAATATGTAGATGATGATAGAAAAGTAGTGGGTAGTATGCAATCTGCTCTAAAGTGGGAGGATTTGTAGAACAAGATGGTTGTAAATCTGTTTCTGTACATTTTGTTATACAAGTAAGAGCTGGGTATATCAGGAGAAACAGTAAAGTATGCTGAAAGTAGTAGGAACAGTGTACTTAAGAAGTGTTTGTGATCAGAGAAGAAAAAAAAAAATCCAAGAGGCTATGCTCAGTTGATGAATGAATGTGGATTTGATACAAAAATAAATGACCCATAGCACAGAAGTACACTTTAATCATATAGAGAAAATGAAAGAGGGTTGAATTGCAGAACAAGTATATAACAGGAGAGTGGAATAGAAAGAAAGAAGACCTGAAAAGTTTTATGGTTCAATAGATTTGATATGGTATTGGAAAAGGGAGTGGTGAGAACAAAAGTCAGTGGCTGATGATTCAGTACATAAATATGATGATTATAATGGCAATTTGCAAGGATAGAAAGATATGGAGATGTATCGTGAATGATGTTGATGTAAACTAGATTTAACTTCTTTTTTCTTCATGCCTACATTTTTTTAAATATTTTTTTTCTTATTCCTTCTTTGCACTTTGCGTGTGATTGCTTATCCCAGAAGGGAATAGTGCAATTGGAATTCAGGTAGGCATTTATGAATCAATTTAAATCGAAGTTAACATATGCTGCAATAGGAAATCTTGGTTAACTGGACTGCAGAGAAGATTCTTGCTATATGTTTGCATATTGTACACATTTTCTACATCAGTGATGGCGAACCTTTTAGAGACAGAGTGCCCAAAAACCGCACCCCCGTTCCCACTCCGCCCTGCCCGCTACCTGTGGAGATGGCCACCCACCACCTCCACAACCCGCCACAGATCACCCAAGCAGCCCAGCAGCGCCATGGTGGCCACGCCCTCCGCCCATGCCCCGCAGCATCATCTGCATGCGATGGGGCGCAAGGGCAGAGTCTTGTCCCTGCTGCCTGGCTCCCTTGGCTGCACTGCTTCGCGTCAACTGCGCCCAGGGCCAACTCTCCAGGGGAGCTGCTGGTGAGGAGGGGGCCATGGGAGGAGGTGGGGCTGGGGAGATGGAACGTGTGCCCACAGAGAGGGCTCCGAGTGCTGCCTCTGGCACCCGTGCCATAGGTTCGCTACCACTGTTCTACATTGTTCATATACATACAGTCTTTTCATTTCAGCTCTATATTTACCTATAATTTGTGCTTAAGTATTTTGGAGCTATATTTTTGCAACTGTGTTTTCTTTCCCACTTTCCTACTCTGGGACAGCCAATTGATGCACGATTGCTCTTTGGAAGTGAGCACTGTATCTTCTAGGGCTTATTCTCTTGCTGGCAAGACAAGTTTTATACCCATTTCAGGTTCTCTAGCATTTCTTCTAAAGTTGTTGGAAAGCTTAGTAGGTTTTAGAGCGGCATTCTTTAAGTGGTGCCGTCCAGATGTATTTGGTCTATAAGTTTCAGCATCCCCATCCCCATGTATTGACAGAAGATGATGAAAGTTGTAATGCAAAACATATGAAGAGTGCCATATTGTGAGCTGACTTCTGCAAAGTTTTTATGCTAGAATATTATGTAAAATTCTAGAACATGCTTGAATGGTTAAAGGGCCTGGTTGATGCCCAGAATTATGAACTGCAATTATATATGAGGACCCAGATTGTTGAGGGCAATATGCTGACTCTGTAAACTGCTTAGAGAGGGCTATAGAGCACTGTGAAGCGGTATATAAGTCTAAGTGCTATTGCTATATAGTACCTGAGTTATTGCTGGGAAGAATCAGCTTAAAATAGTGAGAAAGTTATAGGTGCAGTTTTTAGAGCACGAAGATTCAGTGAAAGGAATGAAAGAAAGCATGTGGTCTTAGGGATTTGACCTGGACTACAGACAAGACCTGAATGATGAATTCTATCCATTGTGAATTCTCAAATTTATATATGATTTAATTTGTTCAGTTCTTTCCCTGGTCACTTATTAATATTGCTGCAGTATATATAAAACAGACGTTTCTCATTCATTTTGTTTTTTACTTTATGGTTTTCTTTTCAGACAACTCGTAGTGAATTTGACTCTAGTGAGTATGAAGTTAGGAGACGCTATCAGGACTTTCTTTGGTTGAAAGGAAGACTTGAAGAAGCACATCCAACACTTATTATTCCGGTAAGACTTTTTATTGAGTTGCATAGAAAGCTGCGTTCCAGAGAGAAGATAAAGCACTAAAATTGGCAATAGCAGGCTACCAGAGAATGGAGTTTCTGGGCTGTTTCCCTATTGCATTCATTATAATGAGGCAACCTATCTTTTGTAAAGTGAATAGAATCATGCCATTTTATTCCAATCATTCTTTGAATCTTGCCCCCAAATCAGACAAAGTTGCTAAAATGAAAATGTGGGTGTGTTAACAAAGATTTCTCTCTACCCACCTTCTCTGTTACTTTTGTGCCGATGAAGAAAGGGTTGTGAGTCATTCCATTTTAAGGCATAGTAGGCATAGAAATTGTATTTTTAGAGTTGCGGTTTAGGTATATAGGCATGAATGCACCTTAATTAGTTTTATTCTTCCACTTCTTTCTTTATTTAGCCATTGCCTGAAAAATTCATAATGAAAGGAGTTGTGGAACGATTTAATGAAGAATTCATTGAAACAAGAAGGAAAGCTTTGCATAAGTTTTTAAACCGGATTGCTGATCATCCTACTTTAACTTTTAATGAGGACTTCAAAATTTTTCTTACTGCGCAAGCAGAGGTAATGAAACCTTCAGATATTTTTCTGATACAATAGGATCAGCCAGGTCTGAGCAAAATAAGATACAAATTGGGTTAAGATCATTTTTTTTCCCCTGTGGTCCTAGACACATATTTCATGCAACTGAATTCATTAGCCTAAAGACAACACTGAAACCTTTTATATGTTGATACAAAAGTCTTTGAGTCAAACCTGAAGAAAATGAAGCCATTAAACATACATAAATTACATAATGCAAAACCGAACTGGTTTACTCTGACTTCTTAGCCAGCATTATATTTTTATTAGCAAAAATACCAATATTTTATTTTATTATTGTGTTGCTGTATAATTTTTTTTCCAAATTTGTATCTAGGATGATACTATCTAAGAAACCCACCCCATTAAGAGACATCCAAATCCTGTTTTTCCTCTCCTCTTCTTGCTAAGCAAAGATCTTCCCTTTTGTTTTTTTTCCCCTCTCACTTCCTTCTTTCTCCTTGACTGGTAGAATCCTTTTTGTTTTTTACTTAGATTTTTATCCTGCCTTTTCTTTCATATACAGTTGAGGTAGTCTTCAACTTGCAACAGTTCAAATTCAAATGCAAACTGAACACTGTGGGGTTTATCCTCCAAGGAAATAGGTATAGGATTATACTATAAACATTTTTTTACAGATATGAAAATTCTGTTCATAGATCAGGTTTGACAGTGGCCGGCTCAGATAGCCATACAGACAGTCCTCAACAACAGTTCATTTAGTGACCATTCAAAGTTACAACGGCACTGAAAAAAGTGACTTATAACCAATTTTCACACTGATCACCCTTGCAGCATCCCCATGGTCACGTGATCAAAATTCAGACACTTGGCAACTGACTCATATTTATGATGGTTGCAGTGTCCCGGGTGGGGGTCATGTGATCACCTTTTGTGACATCCTGACAAGCAAAGTCAATGGGGAAGCCAGATTCACTTAACAACCATGTTCACTTAACAGCCGCAACGATTCACCTAACAACTGTGGTATGAAAGATCGTAAAATGAGGCAAATGTCACATTTAGCAATATAAATTTTGGGCTCAGTCGTGGTCATAGGTTGAAGACTGCCTGTGTATCTCCAGAGGGTGAACGTATCAATATTGCTTCCTCCTATTTTCCTCACAAAAACCATCCTGGGATAGGAGTTGGCTTGAGAGTGAGTGACAGGCCCAAAGGCACCCAACTGGCTCTTATGGCTGAAGGGAGACTCACCGTTTCCTGGTTTCTAGGCCAGCACCTTCACCACTACAACAAACTGACCCTCTCTTCTCCCTTACTGCTATTTTTCCCTCCTGGCCTAAAAGAGAGATTCTCACAGCAGGCTGGCCAAAGCTTAATACAGTCAAAATGGAAAATACTGGCTATGTTTGCATATAGCACGAAGTCAGGTTATGGCCTTATAATCATGAGCTGCATTTATGCACTCAACTTTCAGTGAAGTTTCAAGTATTGCTATAAATAGATGTTAGCACATAGATAAACTAAAATTAATATTTGGGGAGAAACCGGATTGAATGAATATTGTGATATTATTGCGATTTTATGTTTTTAATTGCTGTTCACCTAATCTAAAATAAAACCATAATTTACTTTTATGATCATTGATGAAATGATGGCATCCAAAGAAATCTTCAGAGGGGTCAGGAGACAGCTGTTCTCATTTCAGTGATTGTGGAGCACATAGGCCTTCTATGTGTGACCTCCATATTATTTGAGATTGTGCTAGGGGTTCTGCTGTGGATGTGGGCTTTCGTTATATTAAATTGTTTGTACAATAAGAGCCAATAAATAAGAGCCATTTATCCCTGCTGAAATTGGATTTCCTCCTTTAATTTTTAGGAACTTTCATCTCACAGGAAGCAGGGCCCTGGCTTACTTAGCAGAATGGGACAAACAGTCAAGGCAGTGGCTTCATCAATGCGAGGCAGTGCTGTGAAAAACCGCCCGGAAATATTTACAGAAATGAGTGACTATGTCGATGTGTTTAACCAGAAAATCAATCTACTGAACAAAATCTCCCAGCGAGTTTACAAAGAAAAAAAAGGTTGGTGGGGAAAGGGGAAAAAAGGCAAAACTAATCCTGGGGTACAGATAGATTATGTTTCCCCTGCCAAATTTTAGAGCTTCGTAGCAAGGCAAGGTGTGGGCCTATAGCTTTTTCTTTTTTCTGTTCTGTGCCCCTCACAAATAGAGAATCACGGGGAATATTCTTTCCCTGTGAAATAATTCCAGCAGAATCCATTGGTTTTAACAGCCTGACACTGACAGTCTTAAAAATGGAAGAAGTTAGCAGCCGCCCCTGTAAGTCCTGACTTGTCTGTAAGGATGGGAGTTAAGATCACCCGTTTCTTTCTCCCTTTGAAAGGAACCGTCTGAAAGAAACACTGTAATGAGATGGGCAGAAACTGGTTGGTGTCGTTTTCAGATAATTTCCACCCTGCCACCCTAGGTGCCACTTACCGTCATAGCAGCTATTTGCTGTCCCTGGCAGATACATCCATCACACCAATTCATCTAATGCCCCTTTGCCTGGCTACTTTGGCCAATCACTCAGAGTTTTAAAAAGAAAGAAAAGGGGATTGTCAGCTCCTGTGGAGAGAGCAATTAAGAATGTGGGTGATGTTTTCAGAAAGACACATGGCCATCTGCATGGATCAACTTGGCCTTGGATTCCAATCTGTTTCCCAAGCTGTTGAATGTTAAAATCCATCGACATAATTTTTTTCCCCCTAAAAGGACAACATTTAAGGAGATTGCAGCTTGGGAAAGAAGAATTGGCTTTTCTTTCCTTATGTGCTGTAGCTCCCAGAAAAATCCACCCACCTACCACATTGCATTTTAGATTATAGCTTTCAGATTTAAAATTTTAGGCTGGTGCCAGTAAAAGCAAGTTTCCTAAAGAAAATGTTGTATATATGTGAGTGAACAGCGGAGCAGGTGAATTTTCAGGCATAAATACAAAGCAAAAGATGTTTAATTTTCTATTCTCTTAACATTGAGATCTCCTAAATATAAGCCCAATTCCTCACATGGCAATTAAGCTTTAAAAAAAAAAGTTTCTACTGATGCCAAATGGATAGTATTTTCGATCCTTAATTGCCAGGAAAAATGATGTTGCCTCGTAGTTATATCCAAATGCATGTAGCAATTACAATACACGTTGTCTTCAGCTGGTAAATAAAAGCCAGTATATACATCTAAAGCAGTGGTTCTCAACCTGTGGGTCGGGACCCCATTTGGGGTCGAACGACCATTTCATGGGGGTCACCAAACAACGCAGTCCGCCATTTTTCCCCCTTTTCCTTAGCTCTGCTACTCCCTTTTATTCTATTGGCTTTTGAAAGCCAATAGAATAGACTCTCTTGAATAGAGTCTAATTCTATTGGCTTTCAAAAGCCAATAAGAATTGTCCAGGCTGTCTCTGTCCTGCTGAGCCCGCCAAAAGTCCCATTCTGCAAACGGTGCTGCAAGTTGTCTGCAGCGAAGGCGAGCTGTCTGGAAGTTTCCACCCCTCCCTGCTGAGCAACTACTAGAAATGTAGTAGTTGCATACAAAAGAGGGCCAGGGGTAGGAGGCCGGCGGGCACAGGGAGGGTTGCTGGCGCACATGGGGCCTGGCAGGTGCATTACCTCCCTTGAGCTGAGCCAGCTGGTGGCCCAGCCGATGGTTGGCCTGTGCCATCTCTGCCACTTGCCAGCTATGCCTCGGCTGGCACAGGGGGCGGCACCACGCATGCGCGGCACTCCCGGGCAGGGAAAGTCCTCGACCTACGACCGGTTGGGTAGTCCTTGACTTACGACCGGTTGGGTAGTCCTCGACTTACGACCGGTTGGGTAGTCCTCGACTTACGACTGGTTGGGGTCGCGGCATTAAAAAGGTTGAGAACCACTGATCTAAAGAATAAGTAAAGTAACTTTAGGAAGGAGAACATTGGCAGCAATGTATAAGAAGTTTTCCCAGAGTTAGCCTTGCATTTTGTCCATGGTCAAAGAAAAGCATAGTGTTCTTTCTTTTTTTAAAAAAAAAAAGCTTTTTTTTTTTTCTTAGAAAATAAACACTCAGTTCAGGAGTACTGTATCATTAAAACCATCACGCCCCACCCCAGGAAGAGCAGGTTCAGAGCAATAATCGTGCCTACGGTTCTATATAAAAAAAAGTTGTTTTCTAAATTCCAAGCTGTGGAAAAATCTGTGGCACAGAGGCACACCCACAACATAGGACTTGGCAAACAGCCTTGTCAATCCTGGAAAAGGGGAGGGGAAATAGTGCCAGGAGGTTGCTATGGAAGCCAATATGAAATATAGAAAGCCAGTCCAGGAGTTCTATACGATTTTAAGGAGAAATTAACAGATTTATGAGTACATACATTTTTTGTGAGCAAGCTTTTATTCTGGGTACATGAATGATATTAAATGTTCTGTCTACATACCCTTAATATAGCTCATTTAAACAATATTTAGCCTTTATATGTTTTCAGATTATTTTTTTTTGAAGTTCTTCAGGTGCAATATTTTAGTAATTCTTACATGGATCTTATGTAGCGATCCACATACTGAGTTACTAGCATTCCATAGTTCACAATACATTTTGAATGCAAAAACAAAAGGTTTTTTTTTATTTAAAGCTGGCTTAAACTTGTATCCCTATGTTTAAATAGCCTTAAATGGAAATCTTTTGCAAATTGATGTTTGGTAAGATGGTCCCAAATTTCTTAATTAATTCAATTTACGCTGCCTGGTGGCAACTCTAGTTGGCTTAGAACCAACCATTAAAATCTAATCGAAACAATAAAACAATAAATGGTGACATTACATTAGACAAAGATGGAAAGGAAGGGGGCAAGATGCAGGTAATCTTCACTTAATAACCAAAATTGAGACTGGAACTCTATTGCTAAGCAGTGCGGTTGTTAAGTGAAACATTCTGTGACTGCACCAGACTTAACAACTGTTCAACTGCAAGCAGTCATTACGCAAATCATCCAGGTCATTAAATGATGTGACCATAACTTGTGATTTCACTATCAATTTCTCCATTAACTTTGCTAGTTGGAAACTGGCTGGGAAGCCCACAAACGGCGATCACATGACTGCAGGCTGCTGTGACATTCATAAATGCACACCAATTGCGAAATGCGTGAATCACAACCTCCTGACTCTGGGGTCACGGTGATAGTAGTAAGCTTGAGGACCTGTCGCAAAGTTACTTTTTCATTACCAATGTAATTTTTCGAACATTTGCTAAATAGGACCATCTCTGCTATCGAACTCTGATTCTGTATGCTAGAATTTCAGATTAGGGCAGCGGTGCTCAACCTATGGGTCGCGACCCCATTTGGGGTCGATTGACCATTTAGCGGGGGTCGCAAAACAACGCGATCCGCCATTTTCCCCCCCAGGGGGCGGTGCCGTGCATGCGTGCCGCGCATGGGGGTGGTGCTGCGCATGCGTGCCGCGCATGGGGGCGGCACCGCGCATGGGGGCGGCGCATCCGTGTGACGGGGGTCGCCGTCACACGAAGATTGAGAACCGCTGGATTAGGGTATTCTTTAGGAAGAGTTTCTGTTTAAAGCTCTTGTCCTGTTTACGATAGTTGCTTGAGAGATTGTTTATGAAATCCTGAGTGCCTTTTATTTCCCTCTTTCCCCCCCCCCCAGACTATTTTTATGAGATGAAGGAATCTGGTCCAATTTACACACTGTGGTCTGCTTCGGAAGAAGATCTGGAAGATATATTAAAAGGGATGGCTACAGGCATTGACCAGTGTTGCAAAGCTGCGGAGAAATGGATGGCGGCACTGTACGAAAGCTTCTTCCCTGTTATACACGAATATTTGCTTTACAATGAAATATTGATGGTACGATGGGTTGGAAGCTCTTAAGCAGCTCCGTTTCCTTTGATGTCATTGCTGCAATAGATGTTCTTATGAGTTGCCAATGTGTTTTCTTAGTCAGTGCTAATAATGTAGCCTGCAAGTGAGGATTATATTGTATTTTATTTTCCTGCATGATGTCTGTGTGCTTTCCTGCAAAATACAGCTCTTTCTTCTCTTAACTGTAAGTGATCTGTGGACCCCTAGGGAGAAAATAGCAAGAAGGCAACGAAGAACCATGATTATAAAGCTAGTTAGTTTGACAGAGGTGTATCAATGAGCGAGTATCAATGATTGTTTTAACAATAGAATATTGTGGGTTTCCAGAGTATATAAGTCTTCTCATTTGAACTCCCTTGTGCACGAGATCACTGGGTATCTTATGTTTGGAAAGGAAGAATTCCATTCAAGTTGAGGTACTTTCTAACTCGCAAAAAGAATATCTATAGACATTTGTAGTTTCAAAATATGTTATAAACCTACTTTTGTATGGATTTCTACAAGGAATGCAGTTTTTCATAGTTCCTCAGTTCCATGAGAAATAAGTCATAGAAATCCAGAAGAAAAGAATCCATGACAGATTTTTTTTTTTAAAAAAAAAAAAAGTCTACAAAGACTGGGCATCCATCCTACTCCCAGGCTTGGGAAAATAGGCAAGGTTTCTGCAACCTTCTGAGTATTATTGAGGGGGGGCAGCCATATGGGTCTCTGATGGGATGCTCTTCCATAGGGCAGGCAACATATCAGAAAGTAGATGATACTGTTCAGTTGAAGGATCTGGAGTATATCTACTCCCCTGATCATACAGGATAAGGCAGCAACTATTGGAAATAAGTGGTCCTTCAAATCGTCAGTCCCTATGTGATGCGTTTGAAATATTTAATATATATTGACGGAGGTAAATGTCTATGGAGATTCTCAGTCATCCAGGCCATAGTTGTCCCAAAGATGCTTTTTCACGAGACAGCTGGGCTTTCTTGTTTTTCTTTGAAGACATTTTGCTTCTTGCCCCATTCAGCTCTGAGAGCTAAAGAAGCTTCTTGGATGAGAAGCAAAACGTCTCAAAAGAAAAACAAGAAAGTCCAGTTGCCTCTTGAAAAAGCATCTTTGGGACATTGACAGAGGTATCACTATTGCCCTGGTTCATCTGTCATGTTCATGGTGATTTAGTTCGGCAAATGGAAATTGCCATGTTTGGGAGACATATCAGTTGACATTTAGATAATACAATACATTCCTTCACCCAAATAGTTCTCATAATGAAGACTATAGAAGCCTACTGAGATAAGAAGGAGAGTCAGACAGGAAGAGCCATGTAAATTACAGAGGTTGAATTAGGATCATACTCTGTATGGCTTCTACTACAGGATGGCGGACAGGTGGGCAAACCATGGGGAACAGCAGACTGTCAGTACTTTCAACAAAAAGAGACACCTTATGGAGGAGATTTGGTGAAAACCATCTCAGTATGAGTTGAACAAGGTCCAAACAAACATCTGTGTGGCCCATTAGAATTCAATTTGATGGGAGCCCTTGATTGTGCCTGGTTGTCTGATTAATTGCAGGGAAAGGTGAGATGAGAAATTAGAGGATGTTGTTGCATTTGTTAGACCCTTGTACTCCTCCTCAGCCACACAATTAGGCTGCAGTTGGTGAAGGCAGGGGGTAGCTCATCCTTCCATTAACACAGCTTCTCAGTTTCATTTCTTTTCCATTCTATTCTGTTGACAGCTGCAAGACTTGCATTCAGCTGTAGATTCTCATAGTGGGGTGCAGGCAGTAGCACTCATTTAATAAATGCCATTTTTCCTTCAGGAGTTAAAAAAAAAAAGCACAGCTCTTTATGGACCCACTTGTAGCAATGCAACAATATAGCTTTTAGCCTCTCCTGTTAAGTAGACAGAAAATGACATCCAGGAAAACCCAGAAACGTGGTGTTACATATAAGAGAATTATGGGGAGGGGGAAAATCTTTTTCTCCCCAATTTTTACTCGAACACAAGTCAAGAGTTCTCAGGTTTACTTGTGCAAAAGTTCTAATGCATGTATTATTTCATATTTCAGGGTGTTTTGAAAAGAAGGGACCAGATCCAAGCAGAACTAGATTCCAAAACTGATGCTATGTATAATAAAAAAGCTGAAAATGACCTGGTAAGTGTGCAAGCAACTGAAGATAAAATGACAAAATGTTCTTGCTGTCGCTCAAATCTAGATTACACCACAGGTTATTGTTGCTTTCTCCTATGTATTCCCATCATGATCTTTATGAGCTACTCAAGGATTTTGGCAGATTTGTAGGTACATAAGAAAGTCAGCCTTGAATGTTGCCCTACAACTACTAAAAGCTGTACAGAGACAGAATGTGGAGTTGAGTAATGTACATGTTCTGTAAAAGCAGTTGGCAGAGTCTTCAGCCCACACTCTGGATTGCTTTGGAGGAAAGATTGAAGACCATCTGCTAAATATTCCTCTGCCCACAACATTCTCTGTACTGATAAAATGTGCAGTTATAGGACAGGGTTGGCTTAGACCCTGTCATAAGGCACCCACAGAAATGGCTGCTGCTGTCAAAATGACAAAAACAGCATCATGTTTCAAGCTTTTACAAAGATTTGGTGCATCATCCAACATTGCAGTGTATATTAATAAGAGAGTTAGGGACATCATAATATTGGTAAAATCAGTTTTACCCCTTACAAGCCTTCACCCTGGATTGTAAGTATGAGGATTTATTGAGACATGCTATACGATACTATATCTCTAAATGATAATACAGATAATCCTTGACTTAGGATCTTTTAATAATCTTTTGAAGTTACAGCAGCTCAGGAAGGGTGCTTTACAGTAAAGCATTTCCAATGTTGTAAAATTAACATGCCAATCACCTCACCCCTGCAGTCATGCGATCGTGATCTGGGTGCTTGATCACCGGTTCACATTGATGATTGCTTGCCAAGTGCCCTGTCATCATCATTTGCAATCTTCTCTGCTGGCTTCCCCAGAAATTCAGTGGGAAAGCTGGCAGGAAGGTTGCAAGCTGCTGCTACCTGCTGAAGGATTTTCCCTCCTCTCCATGCACCAGAGAATGTGGGGATGAAAATCTTTTGTCAGGCTGGGGAGAAAAAAAAAAACTCAGGTCTTCAGGATCCATTTTGTTTCTCCAGGCCAGTCTGATAATTCTCCTCACTCCCCCTTGTCAAAACAGACAAGAGGAAGCAGTTTTTCACACGGCAAATTAACTTATAAAATTTTACCCTAAGATATATTGATAGCTACTACCTTGATTGAAAATATTTGAAAAGGAGGCTGGATAAATTCCTAGCGGACAGATTTAGGAAGGGCTATTAGTCTTGAAGACTCAATGGAATTTCTAGATTATGGACAGAGTTTATATATATCTGTCGTGGCAAAAATAACTCATCAAGAATTGTAAAGGATCCAAATGATAATGATTGATCCAAAGCTTGCAGGCTATAGTAAGTCACTTACATATAGAAGTGCCAAGAGCAGGAGACACAAGGTCACATAGATCTTATTCAGAAATTGATCAAAGACAGTTCAAGCACATACACATACATTATTTAATTGTTTAATTCTTGTAGAAGGCCACCCAACTCCATAACACCCTGGTCATTGTACAATATTAACAGTAGTAAAAATAAAACAAAAAATGCAGGTACCGTAAAAGAAAGTAATTAGTTCACAGGAAATTCTTTTTCTGTATGTTCTTTTTTATCATTTTTACCTGCGATAGAGAGAATTGGTTTACAAGCTATAAGGAAGCCAAGATAGATACACGTATCTCTCATGGTATGAAAACATGAGAAAAATATTTCTGGAAAGAAAACAGCAAATTCTGATGACTCATGGTATGAAAACATGAGAAAAATATTTCTGGAAAGAAAACAGCAAATTCTGATGACCAAGTTGAGCTAGGACCGTCAATGTTATTCCAAAAAGTGGACCTGCATTTATAGCCAGAAGAAATAAGGAAGTGTCGCAGCAAATGTCTTTGAATTTTAGTCCACCTCAAGTCATGGACTTTGGATTTATTAGCCACTAACAGCACAGATTGCCATAATAAAAAAAAAATTATTCGGAAGGATCTTATAGGAGAGAGGCACAGAGAAAGGCATCTACGAATTTAAAAGAAAAATGCAGCAATATATTACTATAATTATGTGATTTTGAAACAAATACTAATGCCCCCAAACTGATAAGCTCAATTTGGACAATTGATGTAAAACAGATTAATGTAGAAGAGATATAAAAAAAACCCCTCATCTTTAATCATAAACATGTTATTCCAGGATCAGTTGTCATCTACGTTTTTTGCTCAATGTGTAAATTAGAGACATAGGGACAGTTAAATATAATTGGCATTCCTAACTGGCAAACTATAATCAAGACCTAAGTTATATAATGGGGCCATAGTGGCTCATATAGTTAGGACGCTGAGTCAAAAGACCATTGATAGATTGACACCTCAGCAGTTTGAGACCCGAGAGCAAACTGCGTGATGGAATGAACTTCCCTCAGTTTATCCTAGCTCCTGCCCACCTGCTCGAAAGCATGCAAATGCAAGTAGATAAATAGGTACCACTTCAGAGGGAAAATAACAGAGACATGATAGGAGCCCCTTGGCACTGGTGATGTCACCAGCTAATCCTAACCCTTACTCCATTTGTAACTTTCCAAAATCAAGATTCTAATCATCCTTTTGTGTTTATTCCAAAAGGGGAAAAAAATCAGTTCTTAAACTTGTATTTAAAAATTTCCTTCTCTAAAGATTGAGGAAACTCACCTGATACTACTAAATTTGTCAATTCAAAGATTCCCGTTAGTTGAAAATTTCAAGTAAACGTGCTAAAATCTCTTCCCTATCACTTTCATTGAAAGAACCTATGCTGGACAAAGGCTTAAAACATAATTTTCTCACACACACACACACACACACACACACACACACACATATATATATATGGAACACAAGTGAATATGAAGAACATCAGTGTGACTTCAATGGGAGAAGCAAAGATTTTGAAAATATTTGCAAAATTCCTTAGGAAATGAGTATATCAAAACAACAATCTGAAATCAAAGATTCATGAACAAATCATTTGCAGAGGAACTAATATCCTCGAGAAAAATGGGATGGAAAGTTCCACAGGATGGGGCCACAGCAGAAAAGGCTATCCTTGACCCCTCCAGCTGAAATTCCTGAACAGATAGAATCCTCTTCTGCATGAAGCGAGTGGAGTGGACTATTGGAGTGAGATGGCTCCACAGATACTCTGGGCCATGCCATAAAGGTCTTTAAAGGTAATGGCCATTACCTTGAATAGGATCGAGAAGCAAGCTTGTAACCAATATAGCTCTCGCAATAGCAGTGTTATATGCATCATCCTAGGGTCCTCCAGAACAGTCTATGCCACTGCATTCTATACTAGCTGTAGCTTCCAAATACTTTTCAAGGGTAGCCCCATATGGAGCACATTGCCGTAATCCAACCAAAGGATAATCAGGGCATGAATGTCCTTCCTGCAAGGACCATGTAATCTGAAATTCAACAAACAGATACATCACAAGGAGAGACAAATCTAGGCAGGCTAAACAGGAAAGCTATATTTATTTCATTAATTGGCAAGACTCACACAAATCGTTTTAATTTTTTAAAGAGTCCTGGTAGTACAGTGGTTAGAATACAGTCCTGCAGGCTAATTCTGCTGACTGCCAGCAGTTTGGCAGTTTGAGTCTCACCGGCTCAAAGTTGACTCAGCCTTCCATCCTTCTGAGGTTGGTAAAATGAGGACCCAGATTATTGGAGGCAATATGCTGACTCTGTAAACTGCTTAGATAGGGCTGTAAAGCACTGTGAAGCAGTATATAAGTCTAAGTGTTATTGTTGTTGCTAATAGAACAATCCTCTGGAGCCATTTCTCCAAGCCAGAAAGAAAGTAGAGGTGCTTAAAGGCCTGGTCATGCAGCTCTTTCAAGTTCCCCAACTCTGATCATGCCCAGAAATTTTTGGACCTCAAAGACCTCCTTCGGGCCAGATCTTCAAAGAGGAGTAGATCCAAAGGAACACAGTTAAAAAACAATAAATTGCATTGTACAAGAACAAGTAGAGAAAGCAGTTGGGAAGTATGAATTCTAAAAGAGGCTTCCACCATCATACTGGGAAAAGCTAACTTGCTCAATTTTTGACAGTCCTGTTGGTCTTAAAAGTAAGGAGACCTGCCAGGAAACAAACAAACAAACTCTACAGGGACTCACTGTTGCCCTTTATGAACTAAGAGTGCCTCTGCAAGAGAAATAACACTCCACTGCAGCTGCAAACAATAGGAGGCAGTCAATAGCAATAGGTAAACAGTCTCTGGAAATCTTGTCAAGCATTACTGATCTGCTTAGTGACAGATCGTTGATAACCTTCTAAGGAACCCCATAGTTTCCTAGAGGAAAATAGGTTGGAGAATAAAGGAGACCCAATTTCACTCTTGGAACAGAGCAAGATTTTTGTTATGATGCTATTAATGTTCCATTCCTGATGTTGATATTCTTGCCAAACCTTTTAACTTTCGTCCAATATGTTTGTTTAGTTGCCTGAAGAGATTGGAAAACTTGAAGATAAATTAGAGTGCGCCAATAATGCTCTGCAAGCAGATTGGGAAAGATGGAAGCAAAACCAGCGTCTCGATATGAAATCAGCATTTAGCAATATGGCAGAAAATAATCTCCACTATTATGAGCAGGTAAAAGAGTTTTTTAAATCCAATTGTGTGATGTCTCCATATAGTTTGCTTCTAAAAAGAAGTGTTTAAAAACAGAGCTGTTTCTCTTGTTGTCTTAAATGTACTTCATAGTCAGTTGTATACACACAAACACACACGTGTTGCTTTTAAGTTCTCTGTCAACAGAGGGCAGTCTTGATTTAAAAAGCACAATGCATCTTTATATATTTAATCCTTTGCTTAGTTCAAGGAAGCTTCTGGATAGGAGAGTTTTGCTTTCTCGGGCTGTGGAAGAAAAGACTGCCGGATCTAATCAGCAGATTAATCACCTATCACTTTAGATGATGAGTCAGTGGGGCAATTTTGAATCAATAGAGACAAATTTTAATCAGCATTAAAATTAGAAAGTAGCCTGCAGATTCAAGGTAGAGTTACCATCTGCCTTGCCTTCATATTATTAAGCTAATCAAGTTTTGTTGGTGCTTAATCTCACAAAGCAAGATTTCCAAAATACTGAAGGATAAGCAGTTTTCAAGTCAGCAAGGGTAATTAATGAGGGATACACTACTTTGATTTCCTTGAAAGCAATGTTTGCACCGACATTGTACATAAACCAGCAGTCTGGGTTATTGGAAACAAGCTCCGTGTCAGTGGGACAAATAGCTGCTTTATTCACACTTTCCTGCAAAACCAACCCTTAAACCAGTCAGAAATTAAAAACAGCTTATTATTCTGTACTAGTATAGCCAATATAATGAACAAAGTAAGAAGGGATTATAGATCAATTGCTAACAGTAACTATCTTAAATGGTCGACTGTAATTTTCTGGAAAATTACATTGTGTTCCTAATTATGGATCCAATCCACTAAATTACATTTTACCTATTTGAGTATTTATTTATCCAGTGTGAAATTCTAAAAGAGGATTAGCTACTCTTTTTACTAAATGAAATGAAACAAATGACAACCTCTAGCAAAATTTATTGACACTCAGCTTGGTTCAGGCACATTGTTGTTATGCTGCAGGTTTTCTGCCCTGCACCATTTATGCTCAGCAGGATTGCTGAGATGCATTTGCCACTCCTTCCCCTAAAGTATGGTTTACAGCTGGATTGTTTGAACAAATAAACCCTCCACACGATGACTGAACAGCCTTTCCTATTGCAAAGGAACTTAATTCTATAACCCATGTCTTATGGATTTGTTTCTCGTAAAAGAATATTGTTCTTTAACAATACTGTAGCATTTCCTCGCAGTTGAAATTGTTACCATCGGACACACACTGAAAGTACACATCTTTTCACAAGAATGTCCGTTGAAAGGCAGGGATCTGGATAATCAAGAGAAATGCATAAGACTGAAAATCTGGTCTTACAGATCAAAATCAAAGCAATTTACTCACATCAGAAGGTTTGCTGATCCTACATATTTCCTCAGTCTGTTCCTGTCCTTGTGTGTCTTCTCAACTGTATATTAGAGAAATACCCCAAAGGTGTATACAAATGTGGTCTGCTAAAAACTGTTCACAGATTGATGTTTTTTTTCCTTTGCAAGAGAAAAGATTTGCAAAAATAAGCATAGCCATTTAAGTATCTTCCTGTACTGGTTGTAACTTCCCTAAAATGTTTACACATTCTCCTGTTTTATAATGCTACGATAATGTTGTAAGTGGCTCTTGCCCACCTCTACCACGCATACAATAATGTAGCTACTCAAGAAAAGCCATCAATTTTGAGCATTGCAACCACTCAGCCCCCATTCAGTTCAGAAACCTAATGAATTCAGGACAACTGTACATCTGATCACCGCACTGGAAGGACAAATGGGCTCCCATTTCTTATTCTTCTGATGTTATAATGAACTCTGAGGCATCTGAAAAATATTGCAACTCCTTATATAGCAATGTGAGTTTTTTAAAATAAATTTTTATTTTATTCAGAAAATCAAGGTAAAATCAAGCTCCAAAAAAGAGAGAATTTTTACAAAAACAAAACAGGCGAAACATTAAAACCAAAAGAAAAAAATGTGCATTAATAAAAAGAAACACACACACACATACATATACATATACTTATCATATATATATATGTATGTATGTATATGTATATGTATATGTATATGTAAAGCATCCAAACTTTGATCATTTGACCATGGGGCTGCTGCAACAGTTGTAAGTGGGAAAAACAGTCATAATTCACTTTTTTCAGTATTGTTGTAACTTTAAACTGTCACTAAACAAACGGTTGTAAGTTAAAGACTACCTGTAGGTGCCATCAATTTGATTTGTCATCTGTCTACTATATCATAAAGGCAAAGTAGTTAACAGGTGAACCAACAACACAGTTAAACTTCAGAGCCCTCTTTTAACAATCTATTATTGTGTTTAACTCAGAAAATCTGCTAAGGCAGTGGTGGTGAACCTATGGCATGGGTGCCAGAGGCGGCACTCAGAGCCCTCTCTGTGGGCACGTGCACCATTGCCCCAATCCTAGGCCTTCAGCTGGGTTTTATAAAACCTTTTCGCTTTAGGCATCTGCTGCTGTGTGCAAAAAAAAAAAAAAAAGTAATTTCAGTAATTTCAACTTCTCGGGAAAAAAAAAAGATCTTGCAAAGTTGGAATTGATTGATTGAACTTTTTAGTCCCACCCAGTCTGCTGTTACCATCGCAGCCACGCCCACCCAATGGGCCACACCCACCCAGCACCCAACGATGCATAAATGGGTTCTGAGTTGCAGTTTGGGCACTCGGTCTCTAAAAGGTTCGCCATCACTGTGCTAAGGCTTCTTATCTACCATAAATCACCATAATTATTGTCTCTGATCTGTCTGGGATCAAATATCCTCATTTGATTCTTTAACAGTAAAACATTTCCTTAAGATTTTGGTTAAGAACTTTCCCAACCATTGTGTCTTATTCAAGGCACAATTAACCCAAATCATAAACCTCTGTTGTCAATTCAGTTTCCCCAAAATGTCCAGTCCAAATTGTTTTCCAGCTATAGTGAGTCCATTTCTCAATCACCATCAATCTCCTTAAGGAAGTCCAGTTCATCACTCCTCAATTATGTTAACTCCAAATTTGTAGAATCCATATCCATGCACTTTACAAACTAAGTTCCTTCTCCTTTAAATCTGTCAGCAGCAGTTTAGATTCCAATCCATCCAGTTGTGAGTTTGGTTTGGTCATAGTTAATTATATCTGGATATCCTCTTTAGGTTGGTCTAAAACCATGGTTATTTTACCAAACTTTTTACCAAATGGGGGAAAGGGAGTCTTTTGAGATATTTGAGATGAACTATGGAGTTAATTAAAACAGACCTACTGCAATTAGTGGGAAATTCCACTGTGTCCTATGTAAGTATTATTAAATCTTCTTTTCAGCTGAAATAGATTTCCTATTTTGTTTCATTCCATATTATAGGAAGACTTGTTTAAGTACATAACTAGTCTGAAAAACATCAAACGATAGAGGTGCTTTGCTTAGAGCTTAATTAGAAATTCAGCCTGAAAACACTTTATAGAGGAGGCTTGCAAATAAGTTTATAAACATTACTAGCACAGATAAAATGGAATTGTACCTGTAACTAAGGACATTATAATCAAATGCATCAGCATTACCACAGAGACCTGGGAAAACATGCAGCTGTTTTATCTTTTGCAAACAGATGCTGTGTTTGCAGCCCCAGATTCTCCAAAGCATTTGGACTTGAATCTAAATGTTGTACAGCCCTAATAATTCCTTGAAGCTTTATTTGCAACCTGTCAACTTGCTTCACGAACTTGAATGACTGATGCATAATAGGGTAACTTGCATAGTAAGCAATGCTTGGTTAGTCCAATCGACAGCAACAAGCAAATGTAGGACAAGAAATAAAAATGCTGTTAATGAATAAAACAGTGAAGATGTTTTTGGTCTTTGCTTATTTATTTTATTGTGTGTTTATGCATTTAGACCTAATTTCTGAGCCATTTAATCTGACAGGAACTAGCATTACAAGTATCAGAAGAGGCATAATTCAGTTTGCAGGGTGCAGGTTTTATAGCTGCAAAGTGTTTTTATCTCCAGTTCAGGGACTTCAGATAGCAACAGCAGGGAAAAATTGTTCTGAAATTTCAAATCCTGCACAGGACTTCCAGTGAAGAAATGGTTGACAGAAGAGCTAGTGACTGCTGCAGAATGAAAGAGTCAGCAAATAGATAAAGTCTTTATAATATCTCTCTGGACAAGGAGAGGACTTGAGATTGCCCACAAGTGCTCCATACAGTTGCTCTTCTCAAAGAGACTGTAAGATAGCAGTCCACAGCAGGTTGGTACCTCTGGGAGATGAGGGAATAAACATCTTTGCTCAGACTTTAGGACAGTTTCAAAAAGACACCGGATTGCGTACTTTTCTAATCACTTTCACGCTGCTTTTCAGCTATTAGGAATCTTTGGCTCAACAGGTTTTACAGCCCCTGGTCAGTTTCCTTTCCTGAGCAAAATAGCTGATGATTTGCCTTGAATTCTTAGTAAATGAAATTTTAAATAAAAGTTTCAGGACTTAAATTCTTTTTCTTTGGAATAAATTAATGAAAAGGAAAAAAAAATAGGTATATTGCTATCTCCGTAACTCTCAATGGACCTCTACTGATTAGGACCAAATCAGGGATCCCGAATACCCTGTCTATGGACCGCCATCAGGCTGCTGCATGCCAGCAACCAGGGCTCTGCATACAAGCAGGATGCAGGCAGCTCACAAAACCCCGCCCCCCTCTGGTCCATGGAAAAACCTGTCTCCATGGAACCAGTCCCTGCTGCCCAAAAGGTGGGGTCCGCTGGATTATTTGACAAGGATATGGAAAGAAAAGATAATCTCTTGTATTTTAAGAGAAAGGGATAAGTGACTAAAAAGTGTTTATATGTGATAACTGTGGAAGTCATTCCTTTATATATGTCTTTAGTGTATGCTCATTTCTTTTCTACTTTTCGTACTGTTTTTGTCTCCTGCACTTTTTTCTTTTTTGTTGTTTTAGTTTATAT